TGGAACCGAATGCAGGGGTGGCCGCTTCAACTTTCATTGGGAAATATTTGGCAAAGGTTGCAAAATTCGGCAAAAGAAAAGTGCAGTTAGCCGAAAAACAGAGAACACTACTAGATGTAATCAAAATTTAAGCAAACTAAACACTTCCAGAAATAAAATCAAAAATTTATTGCATATTTTTTCTTCCTTTTTTTTTTGAAGAAAGTGAACTGCGTCCTCCGCTATCAACACTGACAGCGTGAACAAAGAACACGATTATCTAGATGGATTGAAAATTAGTGCGATAGTGCCTGGGAAATTTGCGTGGAGATCCGAATGGCCTCAGAACAAACACCCAATAACGTGCACCAGTGTTTTCAGGCTGCACAGCACATGACTGCATTTCATGCCTACATGCCCGCACATGAGCAACAAATATTTTCATAAATTCAAAGCACTTAACTCAGTCCGATTCTCAAGTTAGCATTTTGCCAACAACATTGGGATTTCAAATTTGATGTGACCATACGCACCATGTATACGCGCTTAATAGCTGAGTTTGAAATTCTTTTCCTCAAACAAAAGCAGAAAACATACACATGAAATTTCACCCCACCATCCTTTCTACTCCCCAAACAGTTTTTCCTCCAAAAAATTAAATGTCCTTCAAGGCAACCGTAAATGAGGCCCAGGCACGCCTGAACATTGATTTTAGGCTGCCTGAATCGCACGAAAGCCAGAAATATTCTTGTGAAACTCCAGCTTCCTACCTCCTTCAATCACTGCATTGAAAGTGGGAGACAAAAATCCGAACGCACACACATACACATACGCAGCAAAATCTCTCGACAAATATGCAAAAACGCGTAAAAACAAACACAGTGACAGATTGTCGGTATATATTTGTGTGCGTTTGGATTTTTGTCACTCACTTTCAAACCAGGTGCCATCAGCTAACTTGTAAGCAACCGTCAAAAAAGGAAGTTATCGACAACCTTGCCGGCAAGAGGTTGCTTTTTTGGCATTTGCTACCACTCGGATTACTCCCCAAGTGTCTCCTCCTTTTAGTGAGAGAGAAGTACAGAGGGGGTTTTAGACTTTCAATTCAGCGACCAGGGAATTTGAGAAGCTGAATGCAAAAGATTTCATGAGCAAAAAATTTTAAATTTAGCTATCAAGCACGTCTACGTCATGGGTGCGAACACATCACGGTTGAAATCCTGACGTCGTTGACAGAGTGCCAACTCGAAAATTAGCCCGAGTTAAGTGCCCTGTTTCTACAAGAATTTTTTTGTTCATATGTCGGCATCAGACGCAGAATAAGCTTTAGCACATGCTCGAGCGTTCAAAGATGTAACAAAAAGCAATTTCGTCAAACATTTAAGCTAGAAAGTTGAAACTCTACGAGGATATTCTACCCCCACTTGCGACTGAAATATTCAAGTTTTAAAACACGCCTAGGTCTCGCGCGCGATAAAGTGAAAGTTTATTTTTGGGCTGTTGACATCTAATTAACTCGGTTACAAGACACTGAGCAGGAAGTAGCAATTTCCCAAAGATTTTGTTGTTCTTACGCAAGCCAGCAAGTGCCAAATCAGCATTTGCTTATGCATGCACCCCGCATATAGAGGCATCAAATGTTTAAGCTGTAACACCACAGCCACAACCCAGCGGCGGCGATCTTTCTGCGGGATGGAATCATACAAAAACGTATGATTGTACCGGCAACCCTGCTACGTCTCCCTACCGACTGTTTTTGTGTACTAGCTTGCAAAAACGCATAAAAATGAAGCGTAGATTCCATAGAAATCACGAGTTTTCAGATTCGTCCTATCCTTTCGGCAACAGTTGTGTTTTAAATTTTCACTTTCAATGGAAAATTTAAAGCATTTCTCACAAACAATCCCTATTCCCTTGCTTAATTTTGCTTCGACGATTATCCAGCGGCATTTCTAGTTCAACAATCACCCAAAAAACTACTGCTGGAGTAAGTTTAAAGCAAATCACACTATAGAGATAAACTTAGCCTGCGCGGTGTGTCCTTATTAACCTGCATAATTTGAAAGATGAGGCAGTTTTGGTATTATTGAAGTACCCCATAGGCTGATCATATTTGTGTGCATGACCATCCGCAACCGTATAATTTAGCTAATATTTAAATCTATCTAAATAATTCCCAGTCCAATAGCAACATAATTCCTGGATGTACATGAAAATTTGTTTGCCCAATTTACATTTGGCTTTACAATGGAAAAGCAATTAGGTAGATGATCCAAATGCTGCGAGCCCACAATAATCTATTTTCCGGATGAAATAATACGGATTGGCGAATGGAACTCAGCCAGAAGGATTGCCTAAAGTCTAAAATAAATGAAGCCCCATAAATTTTAAACAACGCCTATCAGGAAAATTTAATTTGCAAATTGGATCTATGAAAGATAGGAATCGAAGAAATAGGCCAGCACAACATTTTCGATACTAGAAACAAACTTTAGACTTTTTTGTCCCTGGTTGTCAATTATAGCTGTACATTTTTAATTTTCCCACTCCAGAATTAGGAGTGTTTTGGATCTTAACGTTTTTTTTCATTGTCCAGTTTTTCAAAGAAATAATCAAATGACTGCGAACGCAAAGAGGATGAACTACGTCGAAACAATCGTGTCGGGGACCACATATGACTTGAGCCTTCACAAATTTCTCAAAATAGCCTTGGGCTTCTTCAGATTTTTCTCCTCTGAGCAGCAACTTCCTTTTGGAGGCAAGAAACACCAGTGTCATCTCGGCTTTTGATAGTCTGGATTGGATATAAAGGCTGACAAAGAGATTTCTACATTTCAGGTTTTTCTGAAGAACCTACTCTCACAAACAAAAGGCTCTGTGCAGAGCTTTTTCTAATATCCGATAAAATTCACTTTTAATTTCTCTACACATGTGAAATCAGCCTCCACCTGTTCTGTAATCCGACTGCTCCGCTTTCAATCTCAAACTGCAGAGCAGTGATGTATCCAAAAGTGGGAAGCAGCTAACTCTCTTAACAAGGCAGTTAAATTACCGCCAATGAAAAAAAAAAATGCGGAAAATTGAGTGAGGCCGCAAAATCTGGATAGTGGGACATAAAATCTGCTTAAATTAGCGTAAAATTTCGTTAGCACATCAAAACCGCGAAATTAATACACAGAGAAGTTGGTTTAAAAAGGAGTAAATTTAAATGCAGGGAATAAAATACCTTAAATTTAAGCAAACAGGAGGCAGTTCAAGAGGAAAGGTTTGCAGTAGGAACTAAGGAGCTTTGCTTACTCGGCTGTCCAACTAAAGCTTATGATCTTTTTTTGTCGCTTGTAATTTTTTTTTTTTTTTTTTGCAGAATTAGAGGCGGAGTATTTGCAACTAGTGTTTTTCCTTGGATTACTAAGACAGACAAGCTCATACGTAGCTGAGGTTTTGGGGCGTGTTCTGTATATCGAGATGCATGCCATTCGCATGCCGGGAGCAGCAGTCTCGGATATTCCGATTGCCCGGCACATTTGCTTGACTGTATTGGACACCTACCATACATCAAGCAAAATGGGTGCATGCAGAATATGTGCCCACCATTTCACTACACAGCGGATAATCTCGCAGCGAGCAGCTTATTCTTCATTATCAACTGCTCAGCTTCAGAGAGAAGGACCATTTTACCGGATGTTCTCAAAGTTCTTCACATAGGGCATTCTGTCTCATGTCACCGGTACAAAATATTTTGTTTGTTCTTGCATCCCTGTTGTCGCTTTCATAGTTGTCTAGGTGAGCTGTGGATAACAACTGTAATGCTTAATAAAGCACTTACTGTTGTAGGCTGGTGAGCGTTCATTGCGAAGACTGGGTTTTTGGAAACATCAGCATGAGCAGTACAGGCTGCGCGCCCTGTTACTATAAAAA